GGTAAGTTCTTAGTAGTTTGGAATCATTGGAACTTGCCTCAGGTGCAGGTAAATGTGCTCCTTCATATGGTGGTTAGACAGATGAGCAAAAGTATGAAGTGACTGTGAAGACAAGGACACAGGACTTAAGTTACCTCCACTCTGCAGTCCTGTTTCTGCTTTTGGAGTTTTTATGTTTAAAATAAAACAGCTGAAATAAAGTGCCGATTATTCCTGAAAATAATTTTCTCGAGTCAAGGAAGGGGCCTTGAAAACCATCCACTGGAGTAGTGTATCTGCCCGGTGTGCCCCTGCCATGGGGCAGCTGCTTTCCCTAGTATGATTTAAGCACAGGACCTCGCATAGTCGTGAACATTTTCAGCAATTTTGCTAATATCAAATCATGGTTTTAAAGTTATTTTGACAGATTATCTTGTAAAATTTAAGTTAGCCAAGGTTGACAGTTTTTTAACACACCCCAGCTTTGTTTATCCTCTCATCGATAGGTGCCCCCAATTGCTAATTCCCCTGTGTTCCATCCCACACTCTATCTGTACACCAAAAACACCAGACTTTTTTTCCCCCCTTTTAGAGATAAGAGTCTTGCTATGTTGTCCAGACTGGTCTGGAACTACTGGGCTCAAGGGGTCCCTCTAGCCTCAGCCTCCCAAGTAACTGGCATTTTAGAAGTACACCATGATGCCTGGCTTTTCAGCCTGCTTTTGATTGTTTACCAGTCTTTGAAAACTTGATTACATCAAAAATAACTAGTTTGAATTACAACATTAGTTCCCTCTGTATTCATAGCATGCAAATATTTTTTTCCTGCCCCCTCGACAGAGTCTCTCTCTGTTGCCCAGGTTAGAGCGCCATGGTGTCATGGCTCACAACTCCTGGGCTCAAGTGATCCTCTTGCCTCAGCCTCCCAACTAACTGGGACTACAGGCCCCTGCCACAACACCCAGCTAGTTTTTTGTACTTTTAGTAAAGATGCAGTCTCACTCTCGCTTAGGTTAGTCTTGAACTCCTGTGCTTAAGCAGTCCCCCTGCCTCATCCTCCCAGAATGCTAGGGTTACAGGCATGAGCCACCACGCCCAGCCCCTGAATACTCTTTTTCAAAGCTGAGACTTTTTTAAAGTTGAAAGAAAGAAAGTAAAAATAATTGCTAATGTACCTTTTCTGCTTTACATATACCATTTCTTGTCAGTTTATTGGGAAGTACCCTAAATATTCACCAGTAGAGCGTTATAAAATCATGGGACAATTGTGTAGTAGAATAGTATGCAGCCACTAGAAAGTGTGGCTGTTCGTTATTTTAAATGATAGTTCTTTGTTATACCAACGTCCTATATCAGTACTATTTTGACATGTACAAGTACATATGTATTTTCTTTTTTTTTTTTTTTT